TAGTTTCAGGTATTATCTCTTACTGACTTACCACTATGTAAAAAAGGCTTTAGCTCCCCTCTCATAACCCCCACCTCGCCATCCTCCTAAACTTGCTAAATCCTAGCTTCTTCTAAAATTTTAATATATTTTATTGATTATGCTATTATAGTTGCCCCATTTTTTCTCCCCTTTATTCCCCTCTTCCCTGCACCCCCCCTCCCACCATCATTCCCCCACCTTAGTTCATGTCCATGGGTCATACTTATAAATTCTTACAAGCATACATATAAGTCTGAGAATTTCCCAGACTATTCTTAACCTTCTCCTATTTTGTACCTACCATTTATGCTTCTTATTTGCTGTAGCTTTCCCCCCATTCTTCCACCTCCCCTACCCTGCTGATAACCCTCCATGTGCTCTCTAATTCTGTGAATCTGTTCCTGTTCTAGTTGTTTGCTTAGTTAGTTAGTTAGTTAGTTAGTTAGTTAGTTAGGTTTGGTTGTTGATAGTTGTGAATTTGTTGTCAGTTTACTGTTTATCTTTTTTATCTTCTTCTTTTTCTTAGATAAGGTCCCCTTAGCATTTCATATAATAAGGGCTTGGTGATGATGAACTCCTTTAACTTGACCTTAGCTGGGAAGTACTTTATCTGTCCTTCCATTCTAAATGATAGCTTTGCTGGATAGAGTAATCTTGGATGTAGGTCCTTGTCTTTCATGGCTTGGAATACTTCTTTCCAGCCCCTTCTTGCCTGCAAGATTTCTTTTGAGAAATCAGTTGATAGTGTTATGAGAACTCCTTTGTAGGTAATTGTCTCCTTTTCTCTTGCTGCTTTTAAGAATCTCTCTTTACCTTTAATCTTGGGTAATTTAATTAGGATGTGCCTTGGTGTGTTCTTCCTTGGGTCCAACTTCTTTGGGACTCTCTAAGCTTCCTGGACTTGTATGTCTATTTCTTTTGCCAAATTAGGGAAGTTTTCTTTCACTATTATTTCAAATACGTTTTCAGTTTCTTGCTCTTCCTCTTCTCCTTCTGGCACCCCTATGATTCAGATATTGAAGCATTTAAAGTTGTCCCAGAGGTTCCTAAGCCTTTCCTCATTTTTTTTTTGAATTCTTGTTTTTTCATTCTGTTCTGGTTGAATGTTCATTTCTTCTTTCTGCTCCAAATCATTGATTTGAGTTCCAGTTTCCTTCCCTTCACTGTTGGTTCACTATACATTTTCCTTTATTTCATTTTTTATAGCCTTCACTTTTCCCTAGATTTTGCAACCATACTCACCATTTCTGTGAGCATCCTGATTACCAGTGTTTTGAACTGTGCATCTGAACTGTGAAGAGATAGGTTGGCTATCTCTTCATCGCTTATTTGTATTTTTTCTGAAGCTTTGAACTGTTCTTTCATTTGGGCCATATTTTTTTTCTCAGCATGCCTGTTATGGTATGTAGTAAGGGGCAGAGCATTAGCTATTCACCAGTGCCAAGCAACCCAATTTTTTGTTTTTAAGTTTGTTGTTGGCCTTCTTTTGGTTGTGCAAGGAAGCAAAGTGTATTTACCTACACCTCCAGGTTGGCCGGAAGTCTAAATCCTAGCTTTGATTCTATCTGCATACAGAGTTTACTTATTTTACCTAAGTAAGTGCTACTCTCAGTTCAGCCACACAGTGTACTCTAAGTGTTTGTGCTTTCCTTTGCTAGACTTTGTAATTGTCCTTTCCCTGTCTGCTTAGTTTCTATGTATTTATCACAACTTTTACTCCAACTTTGTCCCAGATACGTCCATTTCCTTTCAAAATGTTCTTCATTCATTGGGAATTCAATCACTTTCATTCTCAGGAAGAAATCTCTCCAAGAGTTGCTGACCTGTATCAACTGGTATCTTCTATTTCTTAGGCATACCTGTCATCTTAGGATGTCCTTCACAGCTACCTGAACATCCCTTTCTCCTCCTCTTTGTACTTACTCCTCTTCCTGGACTGAGGTCTTTCTTTCTCTTGGTTTACTTCTATTTTGATCTAGCAAGTCCTGTAATTGCTTCCTGAAGAAAGGGTATGTAGGAGGTAAATGTTTATAACAACTTGCATGCCTAAACACATGTTCATTGGCATTTGAGATCAGTTGGGCATAAGATTTCATTCTGAAAATTTTGAAGACATTTACTCCACATTGACTTTTGGCATTGCTGTTGAGAAATCTGATACCATTCTAATTTTTGAGCCTTTGTATAAAATTTGTTTATTTCTCTCTGAAAGCTTTTATTCCCTCCTCCTTGTCCCAAGTATTTTGAAACTTCCTGACCATGTATGTTGATGTGGACCTAATTTTCATCCTTTATACTGTTCATTGGTTTGTTTCCTACTTGTTTTTTCTAGGAGGCTTATGGAAATAATATTTTATTTTCAAAAATGTTTATTACCTTTATACTGGAACAACAACTTGGGTAAAAAATCATTATGTTTCCTTTTTTAATTTTGGTAAAAAACACATAATATCAAATTTAATAACAACCATTTGAAGCATAATGCTCAGTGGCATTAAGCTTATTCACGTTGTGCAATATATCTGAGAACTTGCAAAAGTGAACTCTATATCCATTGAACACTATTATCCCTCCTTCTTTTTTCAACCCTATCTACTTTGTTTCGATGTTTTTGACTTGTTCAGATGCTTCATATGAGTGGAATCATACAGTATTTTTCCTTTTGTGAGTGGCTTATTTTGTTTATCCTCATGTCCTTGACATCCACCCATAGTAATGACAGGAATTCCTTTTTAAAGGCTACATGATATTCCTTTATAAGTATGTACTACATTGGATTAATCTATTCATCTGTCAGTGGACATTTGAATTTATTTCACTTATTGGCTATTGTGAATAATGCTGCAATGAACATAGGTGTACAAATATCAGTTTGAGAGCCTATTTTGAATTTTTTATCATAAGGAAGTTTTATTTTTATTTTTATAAAGATATTATTTATTTTTAGAGAGAGGGGAAGGGAGGGAGAAAGAGAGAGAGAGGAACATTAATGTGTGATTGCCTCTTGCACATCCCCCTACTGGGGACCTGGCTTGCAACTCAGGCATGTACTCTGACTGAAAATTGAACCAGCAACCCTGTGGTTCACAGGCAGGCACTCAATCCACTGAGTCACACCAGCCAGGGCTAGGTAGTTTTATTTTTAGTTATTTGAAAATCCTCTATACTGTGTTCCCCAGTAACTGTACCAATTTACATTTCCACCAGCAATGCACAAGTGTTTCAATTTTTCCACATACCTATCAACACTTGTTTTCTGTTCTTCTGACAGTAGCAATGGGTGTATTCTAATGGATGCATTGCTCTTTTCTTGAGGTATTTGTAGCAGTTATTTGGACCTCACACAGGATTTGAACTTGTCCTAAGTTTTCTCCTTATAGGTGAACTTACCTTTCTGTCTGTCTACCCCTCCTCCTAAGTTATTTTCTTGTTTCTGAAGTTCAATAACCTTTACTAGTGTATGTCCTAGAGTTTATTTTTCTTTGTCATTATTTCCTGGTACCTGGTGTGTTTTCAATCTGTAACTTCAAGGTTTCTTTAATTTCTTGAAAGTTGTCTTAAATTATATCTTTAAATAATCTTTCTCTTTTCTAGTTTTATTCTCTAGACACTTCAATTATTTGTATTTTTCCTGTCTTCCATATTTATTCTTTTCTTCCTAATCCTAATCTTTTAAAATTTTTATGTCAATTTACTCACTTTTCTCCTTCCTATTGTTAACCTAAAAATAAAAGGCCAAAGTGAGAGGAAACAAGCCTTTATGAAATCAATAAGAATAGATATTCATGAAGCACTGACTCAGGCAGAAGCCCAAATAATTTTCTGATTACAATAAAATGGCAATGTATATTTTGAGAAAAGAAAGAGAAACAATTATAATGATAGAAGAAAGGCATTTCTACTGGTGCAGAAAAGCTAAAACAGTGACACTGATTCTAAGCAATGTTTTAAATTTTCAATCCAGTAGTCATCAGTCCAGTGGTCATGATAACTGCTTTCTTGTTTTCCTAGCAAACAGTTCTTTGGGACACAAGGTTACTTTAGATCCAATCCAAAAGTTACTTTGCCCTGTTTTAATATTCTTAAGGTTTGAGGAGTGAAATGCACAAGGTGGTTCCTTTGGGATGGCAGCTACAGCTCCATTTTAATTTGGCTTTGTTTATTTTATTATTTACATTGTCTTCTATGATGTTTACCATGTTTTTAGTGGTGCCATTCTATTCTTCTGTTGTTTCCAATTTTCCTGTCATTTCTGACCTGTGTTTATTTCGTATCCTCCATTTCTTTCTTGAGCTCTACCAGTTAAAGTCTCATCCTTTCAGTTGTCTTGCCATGTTATTTTATGCTTCTGGTCTGCACTTTAATAAATTTTTGGAAATTACAGTGAAATACTTGATCACAACTTTCTACTCTGTGGTACTTCTGTTTGTTTGTTTTTCCTGGTCTTATTCACTTGGCACATTCCTCCTTTGAGATTTCAGTTTCTTTGCATGTAGACCTCTGCTTGTCCCTTTTTTATTACTGTTCTTTGAATGGGGTAAGCTTTTTTGGATCACAAAAGAGTTTATGTAGGTCAATGCCAGATTGCAGGCTAGCAAAAAAAACCTAATGAGAGTTTAGTCTGCACTTCTCCCCAGCCAATGGGTTTGTGCAGTACAGGGCTATTCACAAGGCAAAGGCTCTTTTTCTACCTCATAGAGAGGCTACTTCCTGCAAACATGGCTTATCCATTTCTTAGAACCAAGCTAGGCCAAGGGCACTCCCACTACCATTTCCCATTATTATCCTGGCAAGAGTGACCAAAAGGGGTAGGGAGGGAGGGATAAAGAAGGAGGAGAAGATGGAAGGTGGGTGGCAGAAGGGCCTAGCTGCCTTGGGAGCTCTTAGTTGGAAGGGACAGTTCCCAGGAAAGGTAAGTCTTGAGCAAGAAGGAGAAGGTGGAGCATGGATCTGACTGCAGTCTTCTCTTTGACCTCTAGGGTGACCATGTGTGGCTGAATGCCCCCTTTGCCAACAAAACCAATGTTGCTATCGGGGGCATCATCAAAGAAATAAAGCCTGGCAAGATCTTGGTTGAAGATGACGAGGGCAAGGTCAGTGTGGTTCTGCTTTTCCAGGAGGCTGGGCCCTCTCCATGTCCCCATCCCACCCCAGGACTCTGAACCCTCTCGCCTTCTCTGGTACTGCTCCCCCACACCAGGAGTTCCAAAGTCCAAGTGAGGGCCTGTGTGGCAGGACAGCCTATAGAGAGTCCTGTCATGGTGAATGTTGCCTGTCTGTCTTGGGGACTGTTTCTACAGTGATAAAGTGACAGATGGGTGGGCAGATGGAAAACTAGGACAGTTAGGGGAGCAGAAAGGAGTGAAATGGGACAGGAGCTGTGTCAGAGAGGAGGGAGAGCAGAAAACTGGTTTGCAAAGTAAAGGAGGGTGAGCTGGAAAGGTAAGAAACTTAACTCCTCCTCAGGCAGCCCTCTACAGAGTGGGGCATGTGGAGGCTTTGCTTCCAAGGAGAAGATTCTAGAGTGTGGCCTGTGAGCCCATACTGTAGAAGCCAGTAGAATTAACAATAACATTTCTATTTGCAAAATGATGTTACGCAGTTGAAAAAACACTTTTACTTGCATACTTTTATTCTAACAGTCTGTGAGGCTCCCAGCTATGATTGATCCCAATCACAGCCCATGTGACTTCAGGGTATAAGCTCCTCTGACCCTGGTCTAAAATTCACCCCCAGCCCCTAGCTGACACCTGGCCCTAGGCATGTGCTGACTCCAGCCTTAGACTGACCTGATGCTATTCCAGTGTCCCTTGACCTTAACTACAGATTGACCCTGGCCAGAAATGTGTTACTAGGTCAGCTGATCTGTTGAGAACTTGGAGGAGAGGTATAGTGGGTTGGTTCATGCAGAGGTTGCCCACTTAGGAGATTCTGTGCTCTTCATTTCAGGAACACTGGATCCAAACAGAGGACCTTGGTACCCTCAGCCCTATGCACCCAAACTCGGCTCAGGGTGTGGATGACATGATCCACCTGGGGGACCTGAATGAAGCAGGCATGGTGCATAACCTCCTGATCCGCTACCAGAAGCACAAGATCTATGTAAGCACTCATGTCTCTGTGGGGCTCCCCATGGGGGCTGGGTCCACACATGCCGTCCTCCAAGCTGGGGAGGAATGCCATGTGCTGGGGTGTGCAGCCAGGCACATCTGGTTCAATTCCCACTGTGTGATGTGGAAAAGGTGCCCAACATTTCTCCATCTCTGTTCCTAATCTGAAAGAGTAGGAAAATGTTTTTGAGGGTACAGAAAGCTGGCGTATACTATGCCAGCACTGTGCTTAGCACATAGTAGGTGCTCAATCGGTACTGCCTCTTCCCTGAGCAGAAGACCTGCTTTAATGGCCAAGTGGACCAGAGGTCATAGGGATGGGCATAGTCTTCTGCATAGCCCCTTCATGGGCATATGACAGAGACAGAATCACCAGCAGGCAGGGGACCATGAATAGGGTAAGGACGAAGAGGAGAGAAGGAGGTGGCTCTGCAAGGAGGTGATAGAGGGCCTGTTGAGCCACTTCTGCTGAATATGCATCAGAGCTCCTAGGTCTGATAATAGCAGTTAGCTTACCTTTTTTACCTGGTTATCATAATCCCTGCAGTGAGAAAGCTTATCCTCTCCATTTCTGAAATAAAGACTGGGAGGGACAACCATGTGACTTATAGAGGTAGCTGCCCCTATCACACCCTCAGAGGCACAGGCAGGGCTAGCTGGGGTTGCATGTGAGCAAGTAGTCCTCAACTGGGGTCCTGGGAGGGATCGGTGGGAACCAAAATTATTGACTAGCCTCAGAGTCCCTGAGGGAGACAGGTGAACACTACTTCATACATCTAACCCATTTTTATCAAGCTTGTTCTAAATACCCAATAGAATGGTAAACATTAACAATTATCACCTCATGTAATCTTCCTGTGAATGTAGCCCTAACCTTGGAATTCTCACTCATGGTGAATACCCCATCTTTTCAGAAGAAGAATCTAAGCAGCTGAATATCTTATCTCCCAGCCAGAATCAGACACCCTACCCCACCAGAATCAGCTGCTCTAAGGCCAAGATCAGGACCGGGCAACACTGGCCCTCAAAATGCAAGGCACTAATCTCCTGTTCCCTTCCCCAGACGTACACAGGCTCCATCCTGGTAGCCGTGAACCCGTTCCAGGTGCTGCCCCTCTATACTCGGGAGCAGGTACAGCTGTACTACAACTGCCACATGGGCGAGCTGCCTCCACATGTCTTTGCCATCGCCAACAATTGCTACTTCAACATGAAGAGGAACAAGAGGGACCAGTGTTGTATTATCAGGTGGGGGCAGACTGTCCACATTACTGGTGCAGGGGGCAGATGAGCCAGGCACCCAAACTGAGCATCTTGTAAAGGAGGGAGCACTTCCTCTCTCTAAAACTCTTCCACAGACCAGCCTATGATTTAGGGGCTTCCATTCATCTGCAAACACCTTCCCCAACAGTACATGAGCCCTCAGGCATCTAGTCCTGCTGCCCTCCTACCCTTAAAAGTTTTTCCAAGGCTTCCTTCCTTCAGAACCTGCTCTTCCACTGTATTACCAGGGCCTAGACTGTCTGCCCTTCAATGACTATTCTTTAAGACAAACAAGGATGGAATGGCTCATTTAGAAGTGAGGCCAGCATAAGCACTTGGGGTGCCATGGTCAAATAGGTGAGGCCTCACTCAAAAAACAAAGAAAAAACTCAGGGAAGACCTCAAGTGAGGACAGGGCAGCAGTGGCTCCAGGGTTAGCTCTCAGGTCACTAGGGCCCAGAAAAGATTTGTCCCCCTCCAGTCCAAGACCTAATCTTGCTTCAGAGAGTTGTTGCCTGACCTGGCCTCCCTGCTTCCTGCACAGGCCCTCCTTGTACCGAGGGAAAGGAGGGTGAGAGGGATAGGAAGGAAGAGGTGGAATTTGGCTCCAAGGCACATTGCTTGGTGTTCTAGTAGTCATTCTTTCATTCATTCACTCATTCACTCATTTATTGGAGGTTCTATTGTGCTCCAGTAGTGTGTCCCACACCATCCTAATGTGGGAAGACCACAGCAAATAAAAGGGATCACAATTCCTGCCTCAAGGATCTTACATCTTCTTGAAGGGAGACAGATGGGCACACAATAAATAAGGAAGTTGTTCCAGCACATAACAGGAGCTTTGAAGAAAAACACTGCAGGGAAAGAGAAAAGAGAGTGATAGGGCAGACTAGTCACAGCCTCTCTGAGGAGTAGATGTTGGAATAAAACCTAGACTGAAGTCCTGTAACATAGGTTATCATGCTTCATGTTCTCAGCAACCTTTTGAATAGACATTTTCATCCATGTTTTACTGTGGGGGAAACCTCTCAACCAGAGGTTGAGATGCTTTCCCAAGGACACACAGTTATTAAGTAGGGAATTCAAACCCAGTGGAGAAAACTCCATTAAGTGGAGTCATTTTCGCTTCTCCTAGTGAATGGGAATACTGTGGCAAGGAGCTGCTGCTCTGACCCCTCTCAAGTTTTGCCTGTCTGCATAACACATTCCTAGTCTGTCCCCTACCCTGGGAGCAGGGAACCTTGCTGCCAAAAGCTTCCAGGATTGTGCTGTAAACTGGCTGAGAAGCTCGCAGAACCACTTCTCACCTCCAGGACACAGTGCCTGAAAAGAGGATAGGGCACACTGTTGTTCTGCCCTTTGCATGAACATATCACTCGGAATCAAACTGCCTTCTCATCCTGCCCTCACACTCCCCTTCCCTGGGCTCTCTGCCTCTGCTTGTGTCTGCAGTAAGCATTCACATATTCTTTGACTCAGTGGAAACTTGGGGATCTGGCTGACTTCACTGGAATAGCAAGTATGGATATTATGAGCAAACCTTTCTAAAACTTAATATTTTCAGATGAAATAATATTTGTCTTGGGTTTGCTTCAAAATGGTACAAGAGAAGAAATAAAATTTGCCAGGAGAAGAACCCTGGAGACTGGATTGTGGGAGCTCATTATGCAAACTGTAAAGAACAAGAACCCCTGTTCCACTTAGTTATGCATTCATTGGTTGATTCTTGTATGTGCCCTGATGGGAGATTAAACTCAACAGCCTTGGCATAGTGGGATGATGCTCTACAGGACTAAGTGTCCTAAGTAATTTTTTAAAAGATTTTATTTATTTATTTTTAGCAAGAGGGAAAAGGAGGGAGAAAGAGAAGGAGAGGAACATCAATGTGCTTGACTCTTGCATGCTTCCTACAGAAGACCTGGCTTATGACCCAGGCATGGGCCCTGACTGGGAATCAAACTGGTGACTCTTTGGTTCACAGGCCCACACTCAATCCATTGAGCCACACCAGCCAGGGCTCCTAGGTAATTAAAAAAAAAAAACAACAGTTTGCATATTTTACCAGCATGAAATTAATATATATTCACTATGGGAATTTTAGAAAATTTCAGAAAAATATTCTGAGAAAAAAATTGCTAGATATTTTTTGGAGAATACTTTCCCTACCCACTTAGTTAAAATTATACTGAATAGTGCCAACATCCACCATTCTCCTATAACTCATAAGCATTGACTATGTTGTTGCAAGCTCTGGGTAGACAATTTTAATGGCTGCATGATGTTCCCTGACTGGATGGACCATAATTAATTTCCCCCATTTAGGTTACTTCTGATTTTCCATAATTGCAGTGATAAATAAATAATGTTTTAATGAGCAGAAAGCTTTGTGATGAAGAATTTTTTTAATTTTAGGATTATTTTCTTAATCTAAACACAGAATAATTCTGAAGTTTTTGATACCTGTGCCAAATTGCTTCCCAAGAGACCGATACAGTTCCCCTCCAGCCAACACAAACGCTCTGCTCATGTAGGGAATGTCACAACAAGGCATCCAGTCATCTGGTCTTTTTCATTCATCTGTTATTACTGGGCACTGTGCCCACAACCCTGGAACGAATCTAATAGACCCTGGCTGCTAGGGCTCACAGTTGAGCAGGGTCCAAAGACAAACACACCAATAACTAGTACAACATAGACAGTCTGAAACCACAGGGGACTCAAGGGCAAATGCAGTGGGAATTCTGTATAAAGGGAGAGCATCTCTGTTCAGACTTCCTCAGAAAGTAAGCCTGTGATGGGCTTGCAGTAGAACTGAGAGGTTCCAAAAACCTAATTTTTCTATTGACTATTTCCCCATGTACTGTCTTTGCAGTGGTGAGTCTGGGGCAGGGAAGACGGAGACTACCAAGCTCATCCTGCAGTTCCTAGCCACAGTCAGTGGCCAGCATTCATGGATTGAGCAACAGGTCCTGGAGGCCAACCCCGTTCTGGAAGGTAAGTCACCCTTAAGACCAGCCCTCCTCCCAGGCCCTTCCTGTGGGCTGGAGCCTTCCTGCCAAGAGGTTCCCCTGAGGAAGGACAAGAGAGGCCACACACTTTCAGCAACTTCTCAAGATTCCTCAGGACATGAAAGACTAGAATGGAGTGGGTGGGTAGTGTGGGTCTTCCCAAGAAGCACAAAGGGGAAATACTGATGACCCTACAAATTTTGCTAAATTTGTTTTCCACGGGATTGTAACAAGTATTCCTTTTAAAAGGGGTCCAAGATGAAATCAACTTGAGAGACACTGTGTGTCAGTTTGTCCTCTGGGAAGCAGTTGCTAGCTGGGGTTAGGGCTGCAAGAGATTTGTTGAGGGGTAACCCCTGAAGAAGGTAAAGGGGGAGGAAACAGGAATGGGCAGGAAAAGTCTCCAGACTGGGATGTTGGCAGGACACAGGAAGGAACAGGTTTGGGCAGGATGAGATTCACACTGCAGTGCATGCCTGACAAGGTCTTGGCCAACCCCATGGGGACCTCTGGACAATGCCAGTTAGAAGAGTCCTATATTAGGCCCAACACCAGGCTTTGGTGACCCCTTTACTCAGTCTCTGGTGGGGGTGGCCCAATGCCGGTAACCTCAGCCCCAATGTTGTTAGCCACTGGTCAGCACATTCTTTTTCTTTACAACTGAGGTACAGTTTACATACAGTAAAAATTCACCTTTTTGATGTACAGTTTTATGAGTTTTGACAAACTCATGCAAGTTATATAACCCCCATCATAATCATGATATAGAATGTTCAAAATTTTCCTCAGTCCCCTTTGTAGTTGGCTCTATTCCCAGCCCCACCCTGTCACAACCACTGATTTGTTTTTTCCCTTATAGTTTTATATTTTACAAAAGGTCATATAAATAAAATCATACAGTTTGTAGCCTTTTGGATCTGGTTACTTTAATTAGTGTAATGCATTTGGGACTTTTCCATGTTGTTGCCTATATCAAGATTTATTACTTTTATTACATTACTTAGAAGTACCACAGTTTGTCCACCAAGTGAAGGACATCTGGATTGTTTATAGTTTTCAGTGATTATGAATAAAGCCTTTACCAACAGTTGCATACAGGTTTTTGTGTGAACACATGTTTTTCTCTTAAATAAACATGCATTAGTGAAATTGTTGGATGGCAAATGAGCCATTTAACTTTGTCAGAAACTGCCGTCTGTTTTCAAAGTAGCTGCTCCATTCAACATACCCACAAGCAGTAGTTGAATACTGCCACTGCCCCTGTGCGGGGGGTGTGGGGGGGGCAGGCGGGCGACTGTCTGCCCTGCATAGGCAGAGTGGACCTCACTTTGACTCACACTCACTTCTTCATGGCTAATGACTGGAGCTGCATTTCATGTGCTCACTTCCCATCTGTGTAGCTTCTGTGGTGAAGTATCTGTTCAAATCTTTTGCCTATTTTTTGACTGAGTTGATTCCTTATTAATGATTTTGTAAGAGTTAGTTACATATTCTGGATATAAGTCCTGTATAAGATAGGTGGTTTGCAAGTATTTTTTGCCAGTCTATGGTTTGTTTTTTCATTCTCTTAACAGTGTTTTTGTAGGCAGAAGTTTCAGATTTTAATAAATTTCAATTTATCATTTTTTTCTTTTATTGATTATGCTTTTGGTACTGTATCTAAGAGATCTTTGCCTAATCCAGAAATTTTCTCCTACATTTTCTTTTAGATGTTGTGTAGTTTTAGATTTTACAATCTGGTCTATTATCCATTTTTTGTTAATTTTTTCTGTGGTACAAGGTATAGGTTGAGTCCTTCTTTCCCTTTTCTTCCCTCCCTCACTCCCTCCTTTAGTTCCTTCCTTCTTTCCATGTGGATATCCAATCATTTAAACCCCATTTGTTGAAAACACTATTCTTTCTCCATTAAATTGCTTTCATTCCTTTGCTTAAAATCAATTGACCATATAGCTGGTCTGTTTCTGGACTCTTATTCTGTTCTATTACTCTCTCTGTTTATCTTTTTACCAGTACCGACATGGTCTGATTTCTGCAGCTTTTTAGTAAGTTTACAATCAGGCAACATGTAACTTCCAGTTTTGTCCTTTTATGAATGTAGCTATTCTAGGTTCTTTGCCTTTTCATATAGTTTAAAATCACCTTGTCACTTTCTACCAAAAGGAAAAAAAGTCTACATCAGATTCTTTCTTGAAGAGGGATCTGCCACTGAGTTCAATAACATTAAGCATTTCACTTAACATAATGCTCTCCAGTTCCATCCATGCTGTCACAAAGGGTAGGAGCTCCTTCTTTCTCTCTGCTGTGTAGAATTCCATTGTGTAAATGTACCATAGTTTTTGATCCACTCATTTACTGATGGGCACTTAGATTGCTTCCAGCACTTGGCTATTGTAAATTCTGCTGATATGATCTTACCTTTAACTAGAACATAATCAATAAAAGAAAAAGCAAACAAAATATAACCAGAGACATTGAAATTAAGGACAATCTAACAATAACTAAAGGGGAGGGGAGAGGGGACAATGGGGGAAGGGCTTTAAGGAACTATTATAAAGGACATATAGACAAAACCGAGGGTGAGGGTGGAAGCAATGGAGGGAGGTGGGTTTGGCTGGGGTTGGGGGGAGTTGTGAGTGGAAAATGCAGACAACTGTAATTGAAAAACAATAGAATCATTTTTTAAAATAACATTAAGCAGGCTTTTGAACTGTAGTCCTTCTCAGAGCCTCTTCTATGCACTGGGATTCCTCAAGGAGGAGAGACAGTCAGTGTTCCCTAAACCTGTTTGACCAAGGAACAATTTTCTTTTTTCTCATGGGACTAATGCTGTATGGTGGTACAGTATTTTCAAACTGCTTCCCAAACCACAAGTGGGTCATAAAATAAGTCTTTTAGAACTAATAAATAGCATACAATAGAAAATACACCAGCACATTACTCTTGGTAAGACCTGGTACAGAATATTTTCTCTTAATTATGTATGTAGGTAGGGGTGTGTATGTACTAGGATATAGTGCAAAGGATCTTTCTTACTGTGGATCATTTCTGAGAAACCTGCAGAAACAACTCTATGGAATGCATTTTGATTCGTGCTTCAACCTCAGTTTGTCCTGGGTTGACCTCTTCATCAGTGCGCTAGCCCATGCTAGCTTTTGCTACTCTCCCTGCAAGGTGGCTATCTCTAACCCAGCCTCCATTCAGCTTGAGCAGTCTTTCAAAAAATGCAAATCTTGCCCTGGCTGGCGTAGCTCAGTGGATTGAGCGTGGGCTGCAACCCAGGCATCGCAGGTTCGATTCCCAGTCAGGGCACATGCTAGGTTGCAGGCCACGGCCCCCCAGCAACCACACATTGATGTCTCTCTCTCTCTCCCTCTCCCTCCCTCCTTCCTTTCCCTGTCTAAAAATAAATAAATAAACAAACAAACAAACAAATAAATAAATAAATAAACCAGAGTTATTCAACATGGTACTGGAAGTCCTCCTTTAAAAAAAAAAAAGAAACATGCAAATTTGGTGCCACACTCCTTCTGAAACTTTCCCCAACTTCCCTATCACTTGCAGAATCAATGCCAAACTTCTTGGCCTGGCATTCAAGGATCTGTGCTACTAAGCCCACCTACTAACTAATGAGTTCTTTCTGTCTTCCACTGCCTTCTACCTGTATCCTGTGCTCTAGTCAAATTTTCCACTGTGCAAGCACACCCCATGCTTTCTGACCTCTGTACCTTTACCCAAATTTTGCCTTCCTCTTAGTGTATCCTTGGCTGCCACCACTATCCAGGGCAATCCTATCTAGCCTTCAGTTCTGGGCTTCACCACCTTCTCTGAGAAGCCTTATGAAATGACTTTGCTAAAAGTACATTTTCTCCTCTCTGCTCCCATTATGGGTATCACCCTCTGTCCTGCAGCCTTTGGAAATGCCAAGACAATCCGAAATGACAACTCAAGCCGCTTCGGGAAATACATCAACATCTACTTCAACCCCAGTGGGGTAATTGAAAGTGCATGCATTGAGCAATTTCTCCTGGAGAAGTCCCGAGTCTGCCATCAGGTAAAGCCTCTACCTGCTGCACTGATCCTGGGGGCAATCTCTATCTGCCCCAGGATGAAGAGTCAGGGGGTTGGGGAGACTTCCAAGGGAGGGTCCCCTTCCATCACTCTCACCTTCCCTCTTCCCCCAAGGACCTCCTCAGCACCCCCCCCCCCCAATAGATCTTAGCTTGCTGCCACTGAACCCTGGTCTAACCCTGATGAGCCAAGGATCCCTAGAATTGGATAATAATCATCTTTGCCCAGGATTCAAAGAAAAGAAGTGATAGGATTCTCTGTTCTGAATTTTTCATCCATATAATTTCCTTCATTTTTTGGTGCCTACTACTCTTCACCTTTACTGGAATTAAGTCTGAGACTGGGCCAGTCCCCAGCTGAGGGTCTGTATCCTGACATCACTCCCTTGCTTATGACTTTAGGGAGGGTGGCTTCAGGGCTTCTGGGAAGTGCCTGAGAGAGATGGGTTCCCTGGGCAGGGTGAGTAGCCTTAACACAGGGCTGTGGACCAGCCTCAGCCTCGGGGCCCAGCTATCTCTCAGGTCAATGCCAGAGCCATATCTGGCTGAGAGACATTGGAACAGAGGCCAGGACAGTCTGGGAGCAACACTCTGAGGCTCTGCAGCCACAGGGAATTACTTTTAAGCTCTCTAGATGGCCTTCCTCGACAGGCCCCAGAAGAGCGAAACTACCACATCTTCTACTCCATGCTCATGGGGATGAGCAAGGAAGAGAAGGAGCTGCTGCACCTGGGGATGCCCTCTGACTACCGCTACCTGACCTTGGTGAGGCCCTCCCCACCCTGCCTCTCCCCTTGCAGCCCCACTCCTCTCTCCACCCTGCCTTCCTCTGCCCTGTAACCCATCTTTTTTACTACTCCCTGCCCCTCCATTACCTCCACCCTACCTCAGCGTCTCAAGCGCTAAAGGAGAATGAAGAAGGAGAGCTGGTGTGCTGGTACCTGTTCAATGTTTGTTTTAGCTCTGAAAAGCCTAAACTCTAATGGGATCCCCTTTTTGGTTCCCCACTTGCACTTCCATGGTTGGTTCCCACTTTATAACTGGCAAAGACCTACCCTTTTCTGAAGGATCCCTATTCCTGCGAAATGATCGTCCTTCCCCACAAAGCTCACCTTTTTGGAACCAATGAATAAAAGGCTTGTCACTCAGTAGGTCATGGGCAGTCATCTCCATGCTTCTCCCCTGCTTTCACTACAATCGTCATCCTGTGAGTGCTTCTAGAACTTGAACTCCAGGAGACCAGGGTCCTTGCTTACACTTGCTCTGGGATGCATACCTACTTTCTCAGCTCCCCACTCCACCCCCACCTGGGACAGTGAAGCACAAGGGGCCCTTTGCTCATGTTTGCTGACAAGGGAAGATGAATTCTACCTCTTGAATATCTCTTCTATGCAGCCCTTTCTCTTGTGTTCAGCACCTGGGGTCTTGCCTGGACCATGGCAGGACCCTGTGTCCCCCCTCTGACCTAATTTGTCACCTACCCTGCAGGCTTGACACCTACTCTATCATTCATCCTGCAGACCTTCCACATGCAAGTCTGATGGACCACACTTCCAATGACAATTCTCCCATGGCCCTACAGAATAGTTTCCAAGCCACTTGCCATCCTTAAACCTCTCCCCCCTCACCACTAACCCAACCTTCTTTGTAGTCTTGACTCCTGCCTCCCATCTTCCCACTCAGTACCAGCTGCTCTCTGCCTAGACCTCCCTCTCCTCTGTACCCTGTTAAAGCTCAGCATTTAGCTTTAAAGGACCAAATGAGTCAGCTCAAGAGCCTCCTCCTGGGAGCCTTACACCACTTGCCAGTGGATTGGCCTCACCTGCTTTGGTCTTGGCACCTATAATAGTCTATGAGACAGTCATCTGCTTCCTGCCTGACCCTCCTCCATGCACAGCACCCAGGGCAGGGCCAGGTCTCTTCATTTCTGAATTCCAGCAGTACCACAGAGCCTGGCACACAGTGAGCCTTGGAAAGTGTTTCTTAAATGAATCCATGATATTCCCCAGAGGGTAAGTAAAGCAGGTGTTATTATGCATGGGTGACAGAGTGAGGCTCAGAGAAGCTGAATGACTTGACCTAGGCCACACAGCTACCAAGTGCCAATGTTAGCTGCAGAGCCCAGCATTCTGTGTCTGTGCCTCAGTTCTGCCTCCAGAGGTACTTTTGTATGTTTTCTGAGCTTCAGCCTCCCTGTGGCCCCTCAGAGTCCACCCAGAGGATATGAAGTGTTACTTATCAGTTACTTATTTGGCTAAGTCTATCAGGCTTCTCTGCCTGTAGGCACAACATGAAGGAGGTGGGGTGTGGAGTGATGCCTACAAAAAGCTGAAGGGCCTGATCCTGCAGGGGAACTGCACTTCCTGTGAGGGGCTCGATGATGCCAAGGACTATGCCCACGTGCGCTCAGCACTGAAGATCCTCATGTTCTCTGACTCTGAAAACTGGGACCTCAGCAAGCTGCTGGCAGCCATTCTTCACCTGGGGAATGTAGAGTTTATAGGTAATACTCCTCCAAACAGCAGCCCCTGGGGAAAAAGAGTGGGGGAACCAGGGAAGGAAGAGAGAGAAATCTCTCAGGGTTTTCACCTAAATGAAGAGCATGCTGAAGTCGTGTGGTCTACCCTTGTCCTGGAAAAATGCATTGAAAGTTTTAGCTATAATTTTGGTGGCCTTGTGGGGTTAAGGAAAAGATGTTAAAGATTAGGGCACTTGAAAGGTGAAGACTTGATCTGTCACCTCCCACTTTAAGCTTGGACCCCAAAGCGCTACCCTCTCAGGGTGAGTGTAAAGCAGAGTAAACAGAGCCAAGCATAAACCTGCAAACCAGTTTGTAAGCACTCAGGTGGTCTGGGGATTAGAGTTTCTTGGACTATTAGCTCCCTAAGCACCTACCTAGAGGACAGAGTGAGAAGACTAGCATACATTGAACTGGAGTTCTAAAGGAAAAGACAAAGTGAATGGGGCATAGGTTGTGTTTGAAGAGATTATGGATTGCACTGGGACTCATGAGACACACCAATTCAGAGAGCAGTGGAGAAAGAACAGATTTGAAATAAATTGTTCTGGAGCAATTGGGTGTCCATGTGGAAAACATGAACTCAGACCACTGTTTCACACCATGTAAGGAAATGTACTCCAAGTGAGCTGTAGCAGGTGACCATGTAATCTATCAACCAAACTGGGCACTTCTGCAAGTGAAAGGTGGGTGCTGACTAACAGGGGCACCAGGACACAGAAGAGGATTCTAAATGTGTTGAGGAAATGAAGCCAGGCACAAAGAATGCAGACCTTTATGTAACACTTACACAAAATTTAAAAATCAGGATTAATATGTAGATAATAAAAAGATAAGGCCCTGGCTGGTGTAGCTCAGTGGATTGAGTGCGGGCTGGGAACCAAAGTGTCCCAGGTTCGATTCCCAGCCAGGGTACATGTCTGGGTTGCAGGCCATAACCCCCAGCAACCGCACATTGATGTTTCTCTCTCTCTCTCTCTCTCTCTCTCTCTCCCTCCCTTCCCTCTCTAAAAATAAATAAATAAAAAATAAAATATTTAAAAAAAAAGATAAAGAAAAAACCAAGGAAGTGGTTTCCATGAAAATTAGGAGAGTGGTTACTTCTAGTGAAGCAAAACAAAGTCTTCACAGGAAAGCACCATACTAAACATTGGGTGTTGGTAAAGCTTTGTATTTAGATTTTAGTAGTGGTTATACAGTGATGACATAATAATTATTCATTGTAACATGCCTTTGGGTTTTATGCACTTTTTTATCTGTATACTTTAAGGTATACGTTTTTACAGTTAAAAAAACATACAGAAACATCACTACATCCTCCCCCCATCCTGGCAGTCCTAAGGTGGAGGTTGACTCAAGCAGGAGGATCTTGAATTAGGAAGGCTGTCAGAAGACTTGCCATAGGGCTGGGCCCCACTTACAATGGTGTTCTGTTAGTGTTCGCTTATTTGACTGAATGCCCAGGTTACTGTCAACAGCAGAGTGCCTTGAAGTGGACTAATCTCTTCCCTTAATAGACCCCCCACCACATGCACTGCCCCCACCCAGTCCACCAGGTTCTCCCTATGAACAAGCCCGAATTTCTTGAAACCTCCTTTTGACCCCAGACCCTGATCTCAGGGCCAGAGGGGGAGGATGATCACCTGGGATGCTGGTTCCTGAGAGGGGCCTGAGGGAGGCAGTGCCTCAGGGACAGGGGATACCCCAGGCCAGGTGCTTACTGGGGCTTCTGACCAGTCACTTCAGGATGCTTTCACCATTAAATGTTAATACTTCTCCCTGCAGCTGCAGTCTTTGAAAACCTGGATTCCTCCGATGTGATGGAGACACCTGCCTTTCCCATTGTGGTGAAGTTACTGGAGGTAGCCTGGCTGTTGTGTCTGCCAGTTTCTATTTTTGAGGGGACCCCAGGGGCCTGAGTTCATAGACCCCTAATTCTCATAACCTTTCCCAGGCTCCTGCTTCCCACCCCTCTCCCAGACACTCAGCTTAACCCTTGCACCCTCCTGTACATTGCTTGCCTTGGAGGTAGGAACCAATGTGAGCTAACCATTCACAAAGTAGCAAAATGACATCTCACTCTCTACCCCACTCATCCCTCTGCTCTCCTAATGACCTTACTCTGGACTTTCCCTATCTCCCTTTAAATGTCCCAGCCCACATCGTCATCCCTAGGGCTTCCTCATGAGCCGTGCTATTCTAGAAAAGTGAGATATGTTCACACCATCAGCCTCCAGGATATGCCAGAGTGAAATGGAGCCTCCATTTGGAGGGAGAACCACAGGCGCAGGCAGAGAAATGTCTTTACACTGGGGACATTGTGACATCCGCCATATCATACCCCATTGGCCATTCTTGTGGGAAATTAATAGAACCAGAAGGAAAAAAGGAAGGGAGGGAGGGAGGGAGGAAGGGGAGAAAAGGAAGTCACATTAAGCAGCTTTTGTTGCCCTTCATGTAGGGCAGGGTTCTTAGAAACTTTTGGTATTTGCCAGTTTGGTCTCCCCTGCATGGTGGGGGCCTGGCCTGTCCAGACTCACTCTTGCTCTCTCAAGCCTGCAGTCCCCAGGCTGGAGAGACATCCAGATGCCCACAGCCTGGTTCTTAACCTCCCTGTTCATTGTTTTCCAGGGTCTACCTGGTGGTGATGGCCCTTTCCTGAGCCCCCAGGAGATCAGCATAGGGCTGGGCAACGAAGCAGCCAGTATGCTCAGGGTCCATCCAGCTTGTGTAACCCTCCTGAATGCTCTGACACCCCAGTGTTCACACTGACCCTCAGCCAGGGCCCACGCAGGACACCAATTCTGGTCCCTATCTGGCTTGGCCCTAGTCACAGGCATCTCCCTCCCTCAGGTCTTGGACATAAGGTGTTTGGTCATGAGAGGGAATAAGATAACACAAGCAGGTTAGAGTCCTGGAGCCAGGTCCTGCTCTGTCAGCTGTCCACCTGCCTCCCCAGGTGAAGCACCAGGCACTCCGGGACTGTCTGATCAAGCACTCCATCATCATCTGTGGGGAAGCTGTCACCAGACCTCTGAACATCACCCAGGCTGCAGACCGAAGGGATGCCTTTGTCAAGGTGCAGAGCTGTGGGAGAAGGGGGCAATTACCTATTGAACTTGGCTCCTTGCTCTGTTGGTGGGAGGTAACACAGAACAGAGAGAGTTGGTCAAGTCCCAAGTCTGCCGATCACCTGCATGGTGACTGTGGATCCCCTAGCCTTTCTGGGTTTGGCTTCTTGCCTTTAAACTAGAGATGGTATCTTTCAGTGAGTACGTGAAATCCAGTGTGAGTGCACCCTTTCTGGGTGAACTTGGAAAAAGGAGCAGCCTCCTTCCTGTGTTTTAAAGCCTATTGGTTATACCCCATGTCTCCTCAGGGCATCTATGGGCACCTCTTCCTGTGGATTGTCAAGAAGATCAATGCTGTGATTTTCACTCCACCTGCCCAGGACCCTAAAACTGTGCAAAGGGCCATCGGCCTCCTAGACATATTTGGCTTTGAAAATTTCCAGAACAATAGGTATGAAGATCTTGGTTCACCTGCTTTCAGAAAATAGAAGATAAGCTTAACTTTGACCAAACTAGAAGGTAGCCATTCCTTCCCTGCTGGACTCTCACTTCCAATTATAGGTGCCAGGGTGAGTCCACTGGGAAGGCCCATGTTTTTCTGCAAGGAGATAGTCTGTGCATATCCCCTGGCACCCACACATCCAGAGAAGGCCCCATAGCTAAAAGCATCCTAAGAGCTAGGCAATGACCCCAGCATTTGTCACCCCTCTTGAGCCATCTTCTTTCCTCATGAATCTGAGTAAATGATATTAGGGTGAAAATGAAATAAAAACATTGATTTGACTGCATTGTTAGGTGGTATATCAAACTAGGTATTAGGAAGAAAGTGGAGGATTTGTGGGCCATCCCTGATTTCTTAGTTTGGTGGGGTTAAGGCAAGGCAAGATGACTATAACCCAGTGTCCTAGCATCCCCAAATGGATACTGAAGAGCTGAGCAGGAGACAGGTCAGAAAAGTGATGCTTAGTGGTGACTGCAATGAAGCCTCAGAAACAGAGACAAGGGTGAGGAAAGGAGCCAGACCATGGAGACAAATAAGGACAGTTGATGCTCTGGTACATTATCAAGTGGAGGAGATCAAGTGAGAAAAATGAGGACTGGGATAAGCAAGCAGGAAGCATCCTATATGCAATCTAGCTTACTCAAATGAGCCTGGCTCATTAAAGGACATGGAAGGACAGAGTTTAGAATTAGTTCCAAGAAGTAAAGGCCTCTGGGCACCGTCAGAGGAGCCAAGATGCTGGCCTGAACTTCACAAGCCCCTGCCAAGGCCCTGTCCCCATGTGAAATCTGAGAGGTCCCCTTGGTGAGCCAAGATTGTTAAGACACAAGTCATTCCCAATGCAGGCATACTGGGATGGCAGGCTCCCTGGACTAGCTGTGCAGGCCAGGCAGGTAGCATGGGACAGAGCTCAGAATTAAACCCAATATGATGATAGCTCTTAGGCACAGAAATCTAAAAAGCAATGCAGATCATTTGTTTCTGTCCCCTAGAGGGACGGCTGAGTAGACCAAGCATACCTTTGGAAACCATGGAGGACAATGAGTAGTTGGTTGTGGGGGATCAGGCCATTTATGCAAGGGCTCCTCCCTGAAGGAGCCACAGGCTGGGCTTGTGACACGGTTGCAGTCTGGGGGTCTGGTGAAGGGTGAGTGCTGCATCACCCAGCACCCAGTGAGTCATGCCTTCTGCAAGTGTCCACTGAGCCATCTCCAAGCAATGTATTGGGAGTGGAGAACACGACCCACCTGTGTCCTCACCTGTTGGTTTAACAGATGTTGAATGAGCAGTCTAGGTATGATAAAGTTCAGCATAAATCAGCAACCCATCCTGAGACAGAAATGCCTAAGTGAGACCCAGGGGATGAGCTGATTGAGCTGGACCATGAGGAAGGAGAGGAGTGGCAGCCAATGAGGGAAGGCTCAGAGATAGGGAAGAACTGGGTGCCTCCACAGACTGCAAAGTTCAGAGTGGTGTGGGGCCACTTCCTTGAACTGAGGTGGGCTTTCTACTGTGTCACTCTCTGTCTGGGTCCTAAAAACAACCTAAAGCCTAGGGGTGAGGGAGGCAGTGAGCTCGGATCTGTGTGTCAGGAAGCTTCCTCTAGTGGCAAGTTGAAAAGGACTGAGAGGCAAGGCTGCAGCCTTAGGAGGATCAGACTTAGAAGGCCAGTATCATGCTCCAGGTGAGCAATGAAAGTGGTCTGTACATTATAGCATCAGCAAGAGTGAAAAGAAGCAAAGAGGTCAGGATGCTGTGTTGGAGAGAACATGGACCAGACTTTGGCAACTGAATGAGAATGGGGAGGTGGTAGAGGGAGGTGTCAAACTTGACTCCTTGGTTTCTGACTTGAGCCAGGGGTGATCTCTTAAAGTGGGGAATCAGAAGGAAAAGCCCATAGGAGGATTAGGACAAAGGTAAGGAGCAGGTCTGGTTGATGCAGAGGAGCCCAGAAGTCAATACTGAGTCTCCAGCAAATCCTCTCATACCAAGACCACTTGTCCATAGGGCTGGAGCTGCTACAGAACACTTGGTTTTCCAAAGATTATTTCTAGGTCGAGATAGGCAGGCCTGGCAGAAATCTAGGGAATGGGTAAGGTGCCAAAGGCAGGAGATTGATGGAATGCCTTCATCAATAAGAACCTTCTCCTTTCTTATAGTCTGTTTGCCATGGGATGGAGGAGGTGAGGTGACAGGAGTAGAGGCACAGAGAAGAGGGAGGGTGCATGTCCATATACTCACAGGGCTTCATGGGAATGTGCATCCATGAACATACACATGTGACTATGCAAATGGCTGGTGACACAGTTGTTCACGCCAGCCACAGCAGGGTGGAGCTAACCCTGCTCCACCTCTGGTGATAGTATTGCCTCCACAGCTTTGAGCAGCTCTGCATCAACTTCGCCAATGAGCACCTGCAGCAGTTCTTTGTGCAGCACGTGTTCACCTTGGAGCAGGAGGAGTACCACTCTGAGAACATTGCCTGGGACTTCATTCACTACACCAACAACTGGCCTACCCTGGACTTGATGGCCTTCAAGCCCATGAGTATCATTTCCCTCCTGGATGAGGAGAGCCACTTTCCACAGGTGCATTCCTAGACCTACCATCACTCTGGTTGAGACATCCCAGATGTCTCCTCTTGGAGGTTGGGAAACTCCCCTGGGGTAACCCATTTGTTCTGGGTTTGCTGAAATCTCTGATAGAAATTAGAAAACGAGCCCCAGCATGTCTCCCAACCAGACCTCCTCACCTTTAAGGCCCACCTCAGGGTATCCCCACCCCTGCCTCTGAAGGAAGGCTTCCTAATTCCACCGTTTCCAATCCCCAGCAGAATTACATCTCAGTCACTGATTATTTAGATTCAAGAACACACCCTAAGAGAGGACTTCCTAAACATCTGTGGTGCAAGAGAAGGAAAAATTTTATTCTCTTGCCCTTAGGGAAATCTGCTTGTCCTTGGAGAGATGGACTCTCAAATGCAGGCAGTAAGACCTCTGAATCCAGAGAAGGGGAAACCAGGGCTGGGGTGCCTGACAATTGTAGGGAAGGGTGGAGCCAGAGAGCTGTCAGTGGGAGTTGGCAGATCTGGTATTTGCTCTGGTTCTGCTCTCGCTCATTGTGACAAGTCACAGACCCCTGGGCATCAGCTTCCTGTCTGGATAAAGGCCATCAGTCATCCTTAGCTCATTTGCTGAGGGTGCATGAGAGAGCCCCTGAGTCCTGAAGGTGTGCCAGCTGACCTCCCTGTGATTGGGTTCTGGGATCTGAGCCCATAGGTTATCTGTGTCCTTCCAGGGGACAGATATCACCATGCTGCAAAAGCTGAACAATGTCCATGCCAAAAACAAGGCCTTCTTGCAGCCCAAGAACATCCATGATTCCAGATTTGGCATTGCCCACTTTGCTGGTGAGGTGTACTATCAGGTAGAAGGTAGGTGCAGCTCCTCACTATACCCACTTCCTCCCAATCTGGATCAGGTTCCAGAAAGGCCACAGAAAGGAGGCTGGGATGGTTAGGTCATTTTGCAGAGCTAACAATGGGAAAGAGGGAGTCTAACAGATCAGGAATGTTTGTTTTGTTTGTAATAGATAAATTGAGATATAATTCACATACCATACAATTCCCCCATTTTAAGTATACAACTCAATGGTTTTTAGTATATTCACAGAGTTATATAACTGTTGCCACAATTTAAAGCATTTTCTTCACCCCTCAAAGAGATCTCCCATTAGCATTCATTTCTCATTTCCCCCCAACCCTTGCCAGCCCCTGACAACCAGTCAGTTCTCTGTCTATGGATTTGCCTATTCTATATGTTTCAGATAAGTGGAGACACAATATGTGGTCTTTTGACTGGCTTCTTTTATTTAGCATCATGTATTCGAGGTTTATTTATGTTGTACCATGTGTCAGGGTTTCATTTCTTTATATTGAAACATAATATTCCACTGTGTAAATATATCATATTTTGTTTATCCCTTCATCAGCTGATGGACATTTGAGTTGTTTCTACTTTATGACTACTGTGAATAATGTGTGTCTTTTCACTACTTCAGGGTGTATACCTACAAGAGGAATTGGGGTCATATGGTTTAATCTTTTGAGGAACCACCAAACTGTTTTCAATAATGGCTATACAGTTTTACATTCCCACTACCAATGTATAAAGGTTCCAATTTCTTCAGATCCTTACTAACACGTTATTGTCTGCCTTTTTTATTATAACCATCCTAGTGAGTTTAAGGTAGTATCTCAATATGGTTTTGATTTGTGTTTCCCTGATGCCTAACAATGTTGAGTATCTTTTCATGTGCTTATTGGCTATCTATATATCATCTTTGAAGAAATGTCTATTCATATCCTTAGCCCATATTTTAACTGTGTTGTCTTCTTATTGTTGAGTTCTAAGAATTTTTAATGGATTCTCAATATAAGTACCTTAACATATATAATTTGCAAATATTTTTCTCTGTGTTATCTTGATATTGTTTTTTGAAGCACAGAAGTGTTGATTTTATGAAGTGCAACTTGCTTATATTTTTGTTGTTGCTCATGCTTTTGATGTCATGACTTAGAAACCATTGTCCAACCCAAGATTTACACCTATATTTTCTTCTGAGAGTTTTCTAGTTTTAGCTTTTACATTTAGGTGTTTGATCCATTTTGAACTAATTTTTATACATGTTGAAATACAAGTCGGGCATGGTTTTGACTTGAGAAACAAGGGCCTGGGGTAGTCAACCCTGTAGTGTGCTTAGAAGAGTGAGAAAGTGGCCAGTATGCAGCTGTAGTCAGGAAAATAGGCCAGCAATAGTGTCACTCTGTGGCTCATATGGTCTGTGTAACTGGAGACTCACAGTTACACTGCTCAGGTGGAGAGATAGGCAGCACACTTTCACTCTCATGAATCCCAGCTCTGTTAGGGCTTTGCACACTGCCAGAGCTCCTGCTACAGTCCCCTTACTCTCATGGGCTCCCATCCCCTCTCCCATCCTTAACTCAGTCTCTGCAGGCATCACACCAGGCTGTGCAGGTATGTGAAGCGCACCCCACTAAAAAGTGGGGTGACTTAAAAGAAAGTTGGGGTCATGCTCATTCAGGAGTCAATCTTCATAGTCTTAGGAGTACAGCCCTTCAGATGATGCCTGGCCCTCATCTGGCCTGACTTGGAGAAGCAATCTCTTCAGCTACTTCCCAGTGGAATTCTGTGCCCAACTTCAGAGTGAGTCCATTCTTGCCCATGATGAGAATGGAGGGGTGATTTCTTCTCTCCTGCTGTGCTAGTTGCCTTGGGCTGCCTTAGTAAAGTTTCAGAGATAGGTACAGAAATTTATTCCTTCACAATCTGGAGGCTGGACATCCAACATCAAGGTGCAGAAGGGTAGGCTCCTTCTGAGCCCTTTTTCCTTGTAGATAGAATCTTCTTGTGGCATCTTTTTTGTATCTGTGTGTCTGTGTGTCTGTGTCTAATCTCTTGTTCTTATATGACACCAGTCTTATGGGTTAGGATCCACCCTTTAGCTTAATCACCTCTTTAATGGCTGTATCTCCAAATATAGTCATATTCTGAGGTACTGAAGGTTGGAACTTCAACATATGAGTTTTGGGGAGGCACAACTCAGCCCACAACATTGCTCCTCCCAATATCTGGAGGCTCAGTCTTTAGGCCCCTGCCCCTAGCAGGACCTTCCAAGATCCCCAGAATAGGGCTGATGGAGGGGCTTTGGAGCTACCAGGCTCTCGGGGTCTCCTTAGTGAGTTACACATGTGCTTGCTTCCTAAACATGTCAACACACATGCTCACATACATGCTCACACACATACATGCATGTTCACAGGTGTGTGGCACACTGCCTGGAGGCACACATCCATTTGCAAGACCTGTGCAGTTTAAATTCACAATGAGGAAGTAAATAACTTCCAAGAAGCTCATAATCATTAAGTCGCCTGGATGTGCTTGGAACCAATAAGCCAAACACTGTTTAATTTCTTTCCTTCTTCCATTTTGAGCTTCCAGAAAAAGCACAGTAGCTAGCATCCTCTTACTGGTTTCACAAGGGATTTGGAAGCAGTTGCTCTTGTACAGACTGGCTGGCTGGGGGAGGCTGGACATACAAACTCTCTTAGAACTGCCTCTGGCCTCAGGGGTGATGACAGAAGTGGTCATGCCTTCCTCTCCAGACTGCAAGCTCCCTGGACAAGACCAGACGGCCAGATTTTCAAGAATTAGTGGAGGCAGTTATGGGGAGGGGGTCTTCTTCACTTCTTCCTTTTTCTTCTTTTCTTTTTTTAGCTCCTTTATGTAAATAAACAGTGGTCTGAGTCACACTTGCCTAAGGTCACCCAGAAATTTTGTGGATCAGAGCCCTGAAACAGCCCTCAGGTCTCTCACTATGGTAAATCTAAACTGCAGGGTGCGTGGACATCACTGTGGCCAGTGGTCGGTACCTGGAGTATTGACAGTTAGGTGATGGCTGTGACTGGGGAGAGGTAGAAGGAAGTGGACTCGTTGCTGTCCATGGTATCCACAGGCCTACACCTAGGGAGTATTGTGGCTGGTGGAAGAGGTGGCAAGTCCTTAGACCATTCCTTAACTGAGCAAAAGGCCCAAGAGAAAGTCTGCCCAGGGGGAGGCAAGAGGAAGGTCTTACCTCACCTGTGGGCCAGGAGAGCCTCCTAGAACAGATGATGCCTGATCTGGTCTTGAAAATGACTAGGCATTGGCCTGAGTGGTTCAAGAGGAAAGAGCATTCCCAGAACAGCTTGTGGAGGCCAGAGGCACAAGCTCTGGAGGAGAAAGGAGAACTTCTAGGGGTGACTGGGCTTCAGGGGAGTGCAGGGCCCTGGCACCCACAGGAGATGAGAAAAGAGGGCATAAGGAAGATGTGCAATGGTGGCGGAGGAGCAAAGAAAAGGGTCAAGTTGAGATGACATGGCGATGTATGGTTGTAGGTATGCTGGGGAATGTATGGTATGTAGAGAAACTGAGTAAGCAGAGAAGGGGTAGGAGGCCATCAGATGAGATCAGACAAAAGGAATGGCAGCATTAGCTAAGGGACTGTGGTGAGGATGGTGAGTTGGAGGATTGATGAGTTTATCTGTTCATTTTATCTGACTTTGTGCTGGGTGCAGACAGTGGGTGCCATGCTTACAGAGGTGTCATGCCATGTCTCTATTGGCTACAGATGGAGGGAGGGATGGAGAGTATGAGTTCAAAGGGGGTTCTTAGAGCCTTCTGATATGACCAGTGTCCCCACCCAGAGCCTCTCCTTTCCCCATCGGTCACAGTAAAAACTGAGTTGGCCTGGCAGGTGGTCTCTTCTCTCTTCACAGGCTTCTTGGAGAAGAATCGAGATGTGCTGAGCACAGATATCCTCACCCTGGTCCACTCCTCCCAAAACAAGTTCCTGAGGGAAATCTTTAAGCTGGAATCAGCAGAAATCAAGCTGGGCCATGGAACCATCCGGGGGAAGACAAGGAGCCAGTTCTTCAAGGTGGGTCCTATCGTTGTCTTTTTCATTGCTACTCTGTCCTTAGGAGTAGCAATGAAAAGGTTACACATGTACCCTCTAAGGTTACACATGTCTGTGCAGAGAAAACATATTGCCTGGGGTCTGGGTTTCTCAGTCTAGGTACAAAGGTGAGTGAAAACATGGGTATAGGTGAGGGGACAGGTACACATGAATGTGCCTGCTTCTGAGTGTGTGGCAATCTTGCCAGGGCACATCTTCTTTTGTTAATAGTGCTATGTGTCTATATTGGTTTCTGCGTGTGTGTGTGTTCTGACTGCTGTATGTGTGCATGGTTGTGTATGGTCCCTGTGGTATATGTATGTGTTTATGGTATGTGTGGTGCCTGGTGTGTGTGGGTGTGAATCTGGATAGCGATGCATGTGTGTGCTATGTGTTTGTGGGATATGGGCATGTGTATGGTATATGTGTGTATATTTTGAGTGATGTGTGGTATATCATATGGCCTATGTATGTGTGCATGTAGTGTGTATATGGTATCTGTGGTGTGTGTCTGATTGATATGTGGGTGTTGTGTTTTGTGTGATATATGTGGTATATGTGACATGTGATCTGTGTATTAAATGTGTGTTTTGTGGTGTGTGTGGTATATGTGTGTGATGTGTGTGTGTTTTGTGGGTTGTGTGTGTGGTCTGTGGTATGTGTGGTATGGGTGTATGGTGCAGGTGTGTGTGCATGTTGTATGCTTATGGTATCTGTAGTATGGGTATGTTTTGGGTGGTATGTGTGTATTATTAAAATGTGTGTTTTGTGGTGTCTGTCTACCCGTTGCCCCCACAACACCCCCTCTCATGGCTTTACCTCTTAATTGTGACTGTCTCAGAAAAGCCCTGTGAAGCTTCTGATGAGGAGCCTCACCCCCACCCTCAGGTTGAGCTGGCTGAATGGCCAAGGAACTGAAAAAGCAGACTAAGGGTCCCCTTTTCTCCATGCCAAGAATTCAGCACTGACCACACTGAAGTGTGCTTCGTATTTTATCACTCTCCCTCCACCTCTGCAGGATCTCCTCAAGCCTCCAGGCCCATGGCCATGTGCAGTGCAGGCCCAGGAAGGCATTCAGGAGCCTTGAAGCTGTGCAGGAATTAGCCAGGTCTGGAACCAGGTGGAGTCATGATAGACTCTCCATAGCTGAGGCCAGAGCACAGCCTCATCTTGGTCCTGCAGATCTCCCAGAGCTTGACATGGAAGTTTCAGGGAACAGGATGGTAGTGGAGAAGAAATATATTGTTTTGCACACCAGAACAAGAAAAGAAAGCTGCCCATTGTTATTAAAAAGCCCAGTGATTCCATCCTCTTGTCAGAGGTATTAAGGTGTAAAGACTTGTGTCTCCAGACTGGTGCATTCTAGCAGTACACAACTTTGCTCAGGTGCATTTGACCGTGGAAAGGTTTAATCAAGGAGCACTGCTCACAATTAGCATCGCACAAAACACACACTGCTCATGGTGAGGGGCTTTTGCTTTTCTCCCTCCTCTCGCCTCCATAAGTTAATACATTTGTTTTAGAATGATATAAATTTACTATAATGTATACAATACATGGTATAAAACATTAAAAAACAGAAAACCTAGATAAAAACGGAAAATGTAGAAGGAAGAGTTAAAAAGTGAGTGTTCCCAGTTCTAACATTCTTTTCTCGCTCTGTTACATCATCTTGTGCATCCCACTTGGTTGACCCCAACTCTAAACAGGAGGCATTTGCCCCTTCTTACTCCCTTCTGGGTCCTCAGTATCCAACTGGGGTCCTACAAACAATAGGCATTTGGGGAACCTGTGATGGATAAATGAATGCAGCCCTCCTGAAACGAAAAGTCAGTGTTCATTCTGCCTGTCACTACCAGAATCAATAAGTAGAGACAAGAATTGAATCTTTATGGGTGCTTTATCCAGATGCCAATGTCTGAGAAGGCAGCAGTTTAGGTACCCTAAAATCCATCTTAACATCTTTCTCAAGTTGACCTTTTTAAAAATATATTTTATAATTTTATTTATTTATTTTTATAGAGGGGGAGGGAGAGAGAGTGAGAGAAACATCAATGTATGGTTGCCTCTTATGTGCCCCCTCACTGGGGGTGTGACCCACAACCCATTCATTTACCCTAGACTGGGAATCAAACCAGTGACCCTTGGCTCTCAGGCCAGTGCTCAATCCACTGAGCCACACCAGCCAGGGCATCAAGCTGACCTTTTTTATAAGGAGAAGAAAAGAGTAGGTAAAGGGTGTGAAAATCAGGAAAAAGTTTAATCATATAAAAGTTGCAGTGCAGTGATTTTCCTAGCATCCCTCCATCTGCTGACCAATAATTCTTTATTGTGTCCTGGTTGACAGAGGTTCTTTCCCTGGAGCACAATGGCTCAAATACCATCTTGATTGCTTGCAGTCTTTCTGGGGCACAAAGGTTGAATTGCTTGCAGGCTTCCTAGAGTCAGGGTAGGTCCAGTCACGCATTACAGATCCTGGAAGAACAGCTTTCTACATGCATTAATCACTTCACCTATTAACTATAACTAAAGTTAAACTTTTTAACTTAAATTCCCCCATCACTCCTATCTGTGGGACCTTGGCAGAAGCCCTCACTGTGCTATGGGTCAGCGTGCCCCAGGTGGTACTCCCTAAAACCCCACTTGGACTCTGTGCTTCTGCCCACAGTCTGCAGACTCTGGCAGGCAGCCTGCCACCTTGGCAAGCCAGTTTAAGCAGTCCCTGGACCAGCTGATGAAAATCCTGACCAACTGTGAACCCTACTTCATCCGCTGCATCAAACCCAATGAGTACAAGAAGCCACTGGTAATGAGGGGAGGTTGGATACACTGGGAGGGAGGGGGCAGCTATTGGATGGGTCTGATGGCACCTAGGGCCATGTCATTCCCTTTACCACGGCCTGGAAAACATTAGGACTGTTCTCTGTCCCCATTTTATAAGTGGGACACTGAGATGAGGTGACCATTCCAGGCCACTCTCAGGTCAGTGACCTGCAGTGCTTAGATCATTCAGATCTCAGTCATCTTCAGCCCTGTAATTTGCCTGCTTGTGCACCTGGCCAGGTGCTTCCCTTTTCAGACTGTTATCTCTTCTGTAAAGTTAGACCAGCTTCTGCCTGTAGGGGGCAACAAGGATTGTACTTGATGTTTCTAGTATATCTGCATAGGTAAACCACACTCAGGAAGGACCACAAGTACTATGATTTTAGAGGCTGATGACCACTCCTGGTTGCCCTTGGAGAGTGACTTTATCCACTTCTGTGTGGTGTAGGGTAGGAGCCTGCCACTTCCCCAGGAGCCCTTGACCATGGACTTGGGAATCCCACCAGCGGCTACAAATACAGGATTCCCAAAATGGGGAGATGCCATCTGAAAGGATCTTATAAGGGAAAAACTGTCTTATTAAATCTTATAAGGGAAATCTTATCTTATCTTATAAGGGAAATCTTACAGTATAAGGTAAATCTTATAGGGGAAAATATATATTAAATAAAGTGACTTTTTGAAAAAAAAGAAAATTATGAAATTGAGGCTGCCCCAGGTATTCCAGCATGTATCTTCCTGATAGGCATAGTACTCAGTTGTTAGGTAAGAATGGTACTCCCAGAGGCCTTCTGCCCACCCCCGCACTCCCTACCTTAGGAGTGAGGTTACTGCTCAGGGCCTCACAGATGGTAGCTGTTGTGTGTGGGTGTAGGGGGACCCTGGGGCTGAGGGGCCAGGCAGACTCAGGTTTGAACCCTAGTTCAACCACTTAGGAGTGTGGCCCTGAGCCTTGGGTACTACACATTTAAATTGGAACTAAGTACCCCACCATGTAGAGCTGTTGTAGAGATTAAATGAGAAATACTAAATACATGGGGGCTAACTAGTTGTCCCAGACTAACTGCTATGTGGCACTGGGCCCCATGAGCAGTTGTCTCTGGGACCCTCAGAGTTTCCAAGTAGGTAGTTGCCAGACTGGTGGGCTTGCCAGATTTGAAGGTGTCCCTCTAGTGCCTAGAGACTCCTGGTGGCTGGAAGGCTGAGGAGGGTCTCTAGTAGACCATGCCATACAAAGTCTTAGGGTGTCTCCTGAGACCCAGCACCCCTGTGCAAAGAAAGCATCAGGTGCAAATTTCTCTCCTCACCACAGCCATCTCCCAGGCACTGAGCTGACCAGAGTATTTTCTAGTTATGAGTAGGAAAAGTATTTCTATCTACCTTCTGAATGTGAAAAGTACGATGTTTCTGGGAGCGCATGTTTCAGGAGGTGGTGGTTTCTTTGGGATCACTGTTTTGGAACACTTAAAAGCATTTAAATTGGGTATATGCAGATCACTTTTGTATTTGCAGTACTTTGCATATTCTGCAGAGGTAAGTATTCAGTGATGCTGTGGATGTCACAGTTTCTGTTACCAACTTTTATCTCCTTAGAAATACTTTAAAGACTTTTCAGCGACTTTGAGTACACATTTCTCCTCAAAAGGGAATTCTAATTAATCTGAGCTCTTGTCTCGAGCTCCCGTACTTGGGGTGATTGCAGGGGTGGGCAGAGCGGCTCGCTCAGCCCTGCCTCTGCACGCAGCTCTTCGACCGCCAGCTGTGCCTTCGGCAGCTGCGCTACTCTGGCATGTTGGAGACCGTGCGCATCCGCCAGGCGGGCTTCCCTCTGCGCTACACCTTCCAGCAGTTCTCCCAGAGGTTCCGAGTCCTGCTGCCCAGCGCCTTGCGCCAACAGGTGAGTACTCTGTGGCTCGACTGTGTTGGTCCACAGGAGGTGCCAGGCACCTCAGGACTTTGACGCCTATAGGTCCCCAATTCCAACAGGTCCCTGCAGCTGCCTTCCTGATGCCCAGGGCCCCTCCACTCCAAGCTCTCAAATGATCCTGCTTTTCCTTCCCTCCTCACTTCCTACCTTCCCCATCTGTCACCCTCTTTCCCACCTGCAACCCCATGGTGCCTTAGAAGTGAAGAAGGGCTAGTTCACGCTGGGCTCTAGAAGGTATTGGTGGCTGATATGGTCCTTCTATGAGTGTCTGCAGTTTAAAGCAAGCACTGTTTTATGTGGCATAACCTCCAGGAGATTATGTAGCTGAGGAGCATGAAGTCCTCCTTATTTTTCCTCAAACACCCAGATATCCTCAAGTTTGGGATGTCCAAGTGTCCTGCAGCCACATAGAGGCCCCAGGCCTTGAAATGTGTGGTTGCCTCATGATCCCAGAGCCTGAGTGCTCCCCTGCACCCTACCCTTGATCCCAAGGTACTTTGTGCCTGTGCCCTGGACCAGCATATCCTGACTGTGAAGCCTGTAGAAGGAAGAAGACTCAGATCCCTAGAAAGCCCTTGAGAAGGGATCCTTAGTCTCATGCCTTGGGGTCCCTGCTCTAGCTCCATCCAACCACTCCTGTTTTTGCTTGGCAGCTTAAGGATAAGTTTCGACAGATGACGATGTGCATCACTGAAATGTGGTTGGGAAAAGACACAGACTGGAAAATGGGAAAGACCAAAATTTTCCTGAAGGTAAGACCTTGAACTTGAAGGTCTCAGCCTCCTGAAGCATGTGGGGGCTGGTCTGGACCCACCAGGAGGCACTGGCTCACTCACCCTGTTCTGCATGTGGCCCCCACCCTGAGTCACCCTGTTGCTATAGAAAGCAGCGTTGAGGGTAAGAGAAGTGGGGAGGGGGTGGCAACATGGGGAGAGCCCAGGTCAGCCAGAAGAAATTAAGAAGGCTTCTCAGAGGGGACATTCATGGCAAGACCTGAGCATAAGGAAGGGCTGCCTTCAAGCCATTGGGCAGAGTAAGGAGGCCTGAGGGCAGGCTCACACTGCCTCCAGAACAGGCCTTTACCATACATGAGCCACCGTCAATGAGCTTTGTCTGGCCTGGGGAAGCTATGCCTCTAGAGAGCCCCAAAGAGCTGGCTCTTCAGTGTGTTGACACCCCACTATGAGAGTTTGTCCTTAGGCAGTCATATGTAGGCAGAACCACTACCCACGTACCTCCTCTCAACATACTGAGAGGCCCAAGATCACACAGATGCAGCCTTGTGGCTCTACTAGACTTCAACCACTCTAGGATTGCCAGTTGGGTCAAAGAGCCACTGGGGAGAAAACTTTCCAGTGCCCTATCCTCATAATACCTGGATGGGTGGGCAAATTGAGGAGGAGAAGGAGAAGCTCAGAATAGGAGGATGTTCTGCAGCCATCTAAGAATCCCTCCCATCCCTGCCACCCTTTCACCCATAGAGCCCTTCCTCATCCATCCCCAGAGGCACCTTCTGGTCCCACCCGCTAGCCAGTCCATGCGCTAGTAAGGCCTGTGTCTAAGGTTCAGGCTTAGACGTGAGGTAAGAAGCAGTGTAGCTTCAGATTCCATGAAGCAGGTGAAGCTGGCAGAAGGAAGCATCTGCCCAGGAGGGTGAGACACAGTGGTATAGAGGGATATATAGTGTGGGTGGATAGTGAAAGAGAAGAGTGCCCACCTCTTCCTTCTTCTTCCCTGGTTACTCCTTGAGGACACAGTCAAAGTCAAGTTCATCTCTGTGTCCCCAGTCCCCACCCAGGTACATCAAGAGGTTCAATGCTTGTTTGATGCAAAACTGGTGAAGGAAGGAAGGGCCTCCAAGCCCTGCCCTCTCCTCACCAGTTGCCAAAGGCTGTACTGATTTCTGTTCTGCAAAGACAGTCCATGGGCTGTCTTCCAGGGGTAAGGATGGCAAGCCTGGGGCACGGGAATCAGGGAAGCACTGCAGTGAACCAGGGAAAGTCACAGCCCCAGGGCTGAATCTCACACTATGAGTCCTACTCAAAGGCCGAAGGGAACATTTTCCTATTGAAACACTCATGAATCTGTAATACATTTGAATGCATAGTTCAGATGAGTTTTCAGAACTAAAACAACTTCAGAGAAATTTTTTCTCCCATCTTGGGTTCTCCAGAACAGAAATGAAATTTGCCAGATTGAATTAATGAGAAGAAAGAGCTAAAATGGGAAGTTCTCGGATTGGGGCTGGAGGTTTATAGTTGTAGCTCTCATCTCTGAGCCATATTAGAGTCAATTTGAAAGCCCCTGCTTATCCTGTCAGGAGCACATGTGGGGAAAGTCTGAGAAGCCTAACTTCTAGAGACAGAGCCCTGGCCTCAGGTGGAGGTGTGGGGTGAAGGGTAGCAGCTATATGACAAACTCTCTCCTATTCCAGGATAACCAGAATACTTTGCTGGAGGTACAGAGGAGCGAGGCCCTGGAAAAAGCAGCAATCAGCATCCAAAGAGTCCTTCGGGGCTACAGATACAGGTGCTAGCCCTGCTCCTACCCCTTTCCTAGCCTACACACCTGCCCATCATATGCCCTGGGAGGGCCTGTAGCACCCAAACCAGGAGCACATGTTCCCACTGGTCCCTCCCTGGGGGTAACTGAGGCACAAGATCTCTAAGGACCTCCTGACCAGGAACACTGCAGCCACTGTTGGCCAGAGAATTTCTAATACATTATTTGAATGTTTGTTGTGGGAGGGGAGTGGGAATCCACTATATAACCAAGAGTCAAAAGAAGTGTCAGCTCTGGGTCTCTATATTTTGATGTTCTCCTCAAACATCATTGGTGCTAATTCAATGCCAAAAGGAATTCCTAATTTGAGGTGTGGTTAAAAAGAAACTGTATTCAGTGCAAACAATTTGACTGTGATAAAACACAGCTCAACAGTGTTACAGTTCAGTTATGAAACAGCGTGACTGTGGAACAACACGGCCCTGAGGCAGCTTTAGGGTGAGCCCCTCTCTGGGTAGACAGCTTTGCTCTGCTCTGTTCCAGTGAAAATGCAGTCTCTGGTTCTAGTGCAAAGTGAAAGTGCATTCTCCCAATCAGAGGAGAACTGGCTTATATAGAGAAAAGTCCCCACACACTGACTCCTGATTTGTCTCTCCATATGCAAATGAGGACTCCAGATCCTCACAGTTAGATTTGTTGAAAAAGCACTGTCCTGATTGGTCAGTAGGTAGCCACTCTAATTGGTTAGTGAAAAAGCTAATGAGGAAATAGCTGTGCAGCTGTGACTGGACCAGGGATGTCTCATTCCTATTAGTTGAAGTACAATTCCAAGAAATACTTTATAAGGGCTGGTTTAACCAGCAGGAACACAGTGCAGGCAGGCAGCTCAGTGTAGGCTTCTCCCTGAAGTGTGGCTTACATGAGAGGCCCCTGTTGAGCAATGACTGTTAGGTTCTGTTTATAAATTTGAGCCCAGTTGGCCACCAGGAGCCAATCTCAACAGGTAGTTTCATTCTTGGGGTCAACAAAGTGATGCACAGGTTGCCTCCCCAGAATAGTCAGAGACAGTCAGAGGTAGCCACCCTCACTGCTGATGCATTCTTTTACTTTAATAATTTTTAAATTTTCAGTTACACTTGATGCACAATATTATATTAGTATCAGGTATACAACTCAGTGCTTAGACATTTATATAACTTACGAAGTGATCATCCAAATAAACCTAGTATCCATCTGACACCATACGTAGTTATTACAATATTATTGACTATATTCCTTATGCTATGCTTTACATCCCCATGACTATTCTATAACTATCATTCCCTATCCTCCCTCCCATCTGGCAATTATCAAAATGTTCTTTGTATCTATGAGTCTATTTATGTTCTGCTTGTTCATTTATTTTGTTTTTAGATTTCACATATAATTGAAATCATATGGCATTGTCTTCCTCTGTCTGACTTAATTTACTCAGCACAATATCCTCTGGGTTCATCCATATTGTTGCAGATGGCAGGATTTCATTCTTTTTTTATGACTGAGCCATATTCCGTTGTATAAATGCACCACTTCTTCTTTATCTATTGATCTGTTGATGGACATTTAGGTTGCTTCCATAGCTTGGCTATTGTAAATAATGCTGCAACAAATATCTGAATGTATATGTCTTTTTGATTTAGTGTTTTTGGGATTCTTCAGATAAATACCCAGAAGTAAAATTGCTGGGTCCTTCTTTGTCCCTTATTTGTCTTTTTCTATAGCATTTAATTTTAAGTCTATTTTGTCTGGGATGAATATTGTACACCAGCTTTTTGTTTGTTTCCATGCTCATGAAATATCTTTTTCCATCCCTTTATTTTCATTCTGTGTGCACCTTCCAATTTGAAGTGGACCTTTGTAGACAGTATATTTAAGAGCCTTGTTTTGTTACATGGATCATTTAATCCATTTGCATTTAAAGTAATTGTTGATAAATATGTATTTATACCATTTTAGTTTTCCTAGTTTTGATCTTTTTTTTTCTCCTTCTTAAAGAAGATCCTTTAACATTTTATGTAATACTTGCTTGGTGCTGATGAACTCTTTAATCTCTTTGTGGGGATTGGGAAGCTTTATAACCATCCTTTGAATTTAAATGATAGCCTTGCTGGGTAGAGTAATCTTGGTTGTAGTTCCTATCTTATCATCACTTTGAATATTTCTTGCTAATCCTTTCTGGCCTACAAAGTTTCTGTTGAGGAATGATCTGACAGTCTTATGGGAGCTCCCTTGTAGGTAACTAACTGCTTTTTTCTTGTTGCTTTTAAGATTCTTTCTGTCTTTAACTTTTGGCATTTTAATTATGATGTGTTTTTGTGTGAACCTCTTTTGGTCCATCTTTTTCAGGACTCCCTGTACTTTCTGGACTTGTGTGTTTATTTCTTTCATCAGATTAGGGAAGTTTCCATCATTATTTTTTAGAATAGGTTTTCAATTTCTTACTCTCTCTTCTCCTTCCAGCACCCCCATGATGTGAATACTGGTAGGCTTGAAGTTGCCCCAGAGTCTCCTTGTACTATCCTCATTTGTAATTTTTTTTCTTTTTACTGTTCTTATTGGGTGTTCTCTACTTCCTTATCTTCCAAACTGCTGATTTGATTCTCTGCTTCATCTACTCTACCACTGATTCTCTGAAATGCATTCCTTATTTTAGTTATTGTATGCTTCACTTCTGACTGGTTCTTTTTTTATGTTTCCTACAATATCTTCATTTTTATGTTTTCTATATTTTTGTTGAAATTCTTATTAAATTCATCTACTCTACCCCTAAGTTCATTGAGTATCCTTATAATCAGTATTTTGACTCTTCATCTGATAGGTTCTTTATCTCCATTTTGTTTAGTTGTTTTTCTGGCGTTTTGTTCTGTTATTTCATCTGGACCTTTTTTTTTTGTCTCCTCATTTTGGCGGACTAATTGTGTTTGTTTCTGTGTATTAGGTAGAGCTGTTACATCTCGTGGTCTTGGTAAAGTGGCCTTATGTAGTAAGTGTCCTGTAGGGCTCAGTGTCTCAGACTTCTTAGTCACCCAAGCTGGGTGTTCCAGGTGCACCCCTATTGTATCTTGTATGCACTCATCTGATGGTTGAACCTTGACTGCTTTGGCACATCAATGGGAGGGATTTACCCCCAGGATGATCAGCTGTGAGGACTAGCTGTGATTATAGCAGAGGATCACTGTGCAGGAGTGGAACCTATAGAGCAAGACTCACTTAAGCAGGGCTCTGGTGCCTGATGAGTCTACCTTAGAAGTGTGTCACTTGTAGATGATGTTGGGTGATGCTCTGGTGAAGCTGTCCACTAGGTTTGTTGGCTATGGGGGCCTCCCAGGGGTTGCAAGCCAAGGTCAACTGTCACCTGTGCCATGCCTAATGTCACCCAGCATGAGCTACAAAGAGATTGGCAGATAGTTGCTACTTATGCTTGCCTTGGAGGTTCTGGGAAGAGGTCAAGCTGCAAAATGAGTCTGGCTGCTGCCAGTGCCAGGCCTGGGGTCACTGAACAGGAGGTACAGGGCACACTGACACCAGATGCTGCTTGTTCAGGATTTGTAAATCTTGTAGAGATTTTAGACAAGTTTGCAGCATGAGCCAAGACAGGCCAGTTGTATGGAAAAAGCCACTGGAAACAGCTTGGGTCAGCCCCAAAGTTGACCAGAGTGGGGTCTCAGGGAATTGCTAGGCTGGGGTGAACAGTGCTAGCCAAGTTGAGGGAGACTCAGGTATGATTCCTGCCTGGTGGGTCTATCAGGGAAGGGATCAGAAAAAAACAAATGGCTTCTTCCAGCACTTCCATCTGGGAGAAAGCTGCCCCTCCAGCCCTCACTGGACAATTCAGTTCCTCCCCATATGTTTCTAGTGCCTACTGAGCTGCTGTCCCAGTGCTGGAGCTTAAGTCAGTGAATTCAAGTAAGTTCATGTGTGAGTCCTTGAAGAGGAATGCCTTGGACTCCAGAAGCCCTCTATTTCACTCAGTCACAATCCCTGCTGGATTTCATAACCAAAAGTGTTGGGAATTTTTCTTCCTGGCACTGGAATACTACACTGGGGAGCCTAGTGTGGGGCTGAAACCTCTTGCTCCTCAGAAGGGACCTCAGCAGCCAAGAATATCCCTCTCAGTTATTAACCACAATGCACAGGTGGGGAACCAGGTCATTCAATGTCTCTGCCATTTCTGCCAGTCTTTTTTAAATATATATTTTATTGATTATGCTATTACAGTTGTCCCAATTTTTCCCCTTTGTCATGCTCCACACAGTACCCCCATTCCTTCCAGTGATCACTCCCCTTAGCGCATATCCATGGGTCATGCATGTAAGTTCTTTGGCTACTCCATTACCTATTCTGTTCTTAACATCTCCCTGTCTATTTTGTACCTACCAGTTTATGCTTCTTAATCCCTGTCCCTCTCTCCCCATTTTCTCCCTTCCCTCTCCCAACTGATAACTCTCCAAATGATCTCCATACCCATGATTCTGTTCCTGTTCTGCTTGATTGCTTAGTTTGTTCTTTGGATTAAATTATTGATAGTTGTAAATTTATTGCCATTTTAATGTTCATTATTTTGAGCTTCTTTTTCTTATATAATTACCTTTAGCATTTCATATAATAATGGCTTGGTGATGATGAACTCCTTTAGTTTTACCTTATCTGGGAAGCACGTTATCTGCCCTTCAATTCTAAATGATAGCTTTTCTGGATAGAGTAGTCTTAGTTGTAGGTCCTTGCTTTTTCTCATTTTGAATACTTCTTGCCAGCCTCTTCTAGCCTGCAAAATTTCTTTTGGGAAATCAGCTGACAATCTTCTGGGAGCTCCTTTGTATGTAACTATCTGCTTTTCTCTTGCTGCTTTTAAGGTTCTCTCTTTATCTTTAACCTTTGACATTTTAATTATGATGTGTCTTGGTATGGTCCTCTTTGGGTCCATTTTGTTTGGGACTCTCTGTGTTTCTGGACTTGTATGTCTATTTCCTTTACCAAATCAGGGAAGT